TGCCACGCTTGTCAACATCTGGTTGTAGTCTGTTCTTGTTGGTTCTCAGTCCGCAGAACTCCCTTTAGGATGTTTTGTAGTGCAGGGTTGGCTTTGGCAAAATCCCTTAGCTTCTGTTTATCTTGGAATGTTTTGATTACACCATCATATTTGATTGATAACTTTGCTGGATAAAGAATTCTTGGTTGGCAATTTTTTTTTTCTTTTCAGGGTTTTATATATGTCTCCCCCTTGCCTTCTTGCTTGCATGGTTTCTGCTGAGAGATCCAAGCTTAATCTGACTTGCTTGCCTTTGTATGTGAGTGACACTTCTGTTTTCCCTTAGCTGCTTTCAGGAGTATCTTATTTGAGTTTGGAGAGCTTGATTATGATATGTCTCGGTGATTTTCTTTTGGGGTCTATCTTTCCTGGGGTTCGTTGAGCTTCTTGAATGTTTATCTTTTCACTTTTCAGGATGTTAGAGAAATTTTTTCCAGAAGCTCTTCAACTATTTCCTCTGTGGTTTAATGCGATTTTTCTTGTTCTGGAATGCCGATAATTCTTAGATAAATCTTAGACCTTCTTCAGATTTTTAAAATCCTTTTTTTCTGTTTGTTCTTTTCTATCTTAGTGGTATTGAGAGATTTGTCTTCCAGCTCACTGGTTCTGCCTTCCATCTCTTCTGTTCTACTCCTTTGCCGTTCAGAGTATTGTCTATTTCTGATAATTCTATTATTGATCGTTTGGACCTCTCTCTGTAGGTTTTGAATTGTTTCCATTGCTGTATCTATCTTATTTGATTATTCCTGTAGCGCCTTTCTGACTTCTTCCTTATTTTTCTCAACTGCGTTGTAAAGTGTTTTGAAACATTTTATAATCATTTTTCTGAATTCCTTCTCAGGCATTACCAAGGCCTGTCCTCTTTCCAGAATGTAGTCTAGGTCTACCTCTAGGTCATTTTTCTCAGACATTTTACCTTGTTTCTGGACATGTGCTGATATGGTCCGCTGCTTTTGCTTCTTGGACATAGTTAATGTTTATCTGAGGCCTTAATACTTAATTGAGTATGTGTTTTGGTATTTTTTATTTTTCCTGATTGCTTCCAGGAAGATGTGATCAAGATGTGGGATTCCCCTTTCACTCTTCTTATTGCTTAACTCAGTGTAACTTTCACAGGTGTTGTCTGTCTCCCTGGTATATGGCAGTTGGTATTGGTTCTTGTCTGGGTTTTAGTGTTTTATTGAGTGTGATTGTAGCTTGACTATATGGCAGCAGTTGCTGACTCTTCTTGGGTAATATAGGGAGAGTAAGAGTCCCCTAAAGGTGGAAGAGGGAGCATATAACAGCAAAACAGCACCAGCAAAACAAAACAAAAAAACCCAAAAAGCAACAACAACAAAGCAAAACTAGACTGAATACTGCAGTCTGTAATCACAGAAAAGGGAGAGGAGGGAGAGAAGAAGAAGAAAATAAAAAAAGTTCTGTAGCTTAATATGAGTATGACTTTAATGTCCTTTCGTCATCTTCTTGCTTTCAGAGCTGCCTGAGAGATTTCAAGATGTCACTGTTGTTATGCTATATTTCAGGCTTTAATTTAATTTTCGGACTGTTTTGTTTTTAAACTGTCTTTTCTTTTCAATAACCCTGTCCTGGCCCTTCCCGTATTTAAAAAACCCAACAAAACATTCAGGGTCTGCTTTTGGGCTAAGTACCTGTGTGCATGCATGGAAGAAGAACGCAGCATTGATGAGGGTGGTGGGTTTCCACTTGCTCAGGGACCCCTCCTCTAGTCACCAGAATGGAGGTGCACAAACAGTGGGGGACCAATGACCAGATACCAAAACAAAACAAAAAAAACCAGAACAAAGCAAAACCGACCAGGTGTGTTGTCCACCTTTGCTCTGAGGTTCCTGTGGCGTTTTTCCGTGGTGTTTCTGCTCCCCCTCTTGGTCTTGCCGTTTGGTGTCACACAAGTTTTTGGCTCTGTGCCTCGGAGCCTGGCCAATTCAAAAGTATGCGATTTTTTACTTCAGCTTCAATTTCAACTAGCTGTAAGCCTTCAAACTTTTAAAATATTCCTAGCTATGTGGTTCTGAGTTTGGAGTTCTGCTGATGGCGAACTAAACTGCACCTCCACCCTAGCTGCCATCAAGCCCGCCTCTTAATTTCATTTTTTCATAAATTATATGAATTTAATCTTCTTGTAATCTTCCCTGTAAGATCAGAGAAGCATGATGTTTTTGAGAATCATCCATGTATCAATAATTTGTTCCTTTTTATTGCTGAGTACGTTTGAGGCATGTTGTAACTTTGATTTCTGAAGTTTTATTGGTGTTTTAAAACACTTGTGTTCTACAATTTTTTGCAGCAAACTGACCGGGCAAATAGATTTGAGTATTTATTAAAGCAGACAGAGCTGTTTGCACATTTCATTCAACCTGCTGCTCAGAAGACTCCAACTTCACCTCTGAAGATGAAACCAGGACGCCCAAGAATAAAAAAGGATGAGAAACAGAACTTGCTGTCAGTTGGCGAGTGAGTAATAATAGTGTGTACTTCATAATTGAATGGCATTTATTTGCCAGTGCATTAGAAGCTTTGTTGTTTGTTGAGTTGATTCTAACTTATTGAGATCCATCCCCTGGGTTACAGAGTAGTGCTACTCTGTACATTGAATAAAGATTTCTGGATAAGGTCAATTTTACATTCAACAAATCATATGCTTTATTTCATCTTAATGATTGTAGGTCCTCTCTGTGCAACAACAATTATCCCACTGCCTCCCTGTGGTTCTTATTTTCATTCCATCCTCTTTTCATCCCTTCTCAACTTTGTCCTTTAGTAAATGCTGTCTTTTTTTTTTTTTCTTAAATGTTTTATTGTGAATTATGTGATAGTTTACATGGGAGAACATTAGTTTTACATTCATTTTATCGTATATCGTCTCATTGCCATGCTTACAATCCCCTCCATGCATCATCAACCGACCAAAGGGTATATCCTGCAATCCTTCCCCCAT